AAGTCCTTCATGTCGCTGGTTGTTATTAATGTTGTCTTGCCTCTGCCACAATTACTATTAATGCCATTGTTGCGAATATTAACGTGCTGTCGTTGCTGTTGCCACTACTGTTTCTACGAAAGGCAGTGCTACTATTTTCACCGCTGCTGCTTACTGTTGTCATTTCTGTCAAGCCGACCTCTTACTATTACCTGCACTGCTACTCTCAATGCTACTACTTATTTGCATCTGCTGTTCCTTCTTTCACTACTTTTCATTGTTACTATGGATGCTTCTGCTGATATCATCACTACCGCCACTTCTTCTGCTACTACAACTACTCACACTTTTACCACTGCTATTGTTTACACTTCATTTAGCACTGCTACTGCCCCTACTGATTCTCCTTCATCCTTTACTCCCTTTGCAGCCGTGGCCGGCAAGGAAACCCTGCCGCCATGATTATTCATATATACATATACATATAATGCAGCAGTTCCCTTGAATTCCCCTCTTTTATGTCTTAATAATTATGCCATCGCACCTTGCTTACGTCACGCGTACATCTGGCATACACATTCCGCAGCCTCAATTTACATGAAGGAAACTTCCGTAAATGGCCGGTAGCCTTGGTGACCGTGAACAATGGGACGCCCGTTTTGTCCACCTAGCTAAACGACCATCCCATTTAAACGGGCTGTCAGTCATCTTTCAGGCATTTGGCCCGTGAACTGACAAGCAAATGGGCGGCGGTGAAACCCCTGCAGGCGATGAGAAAGAGCGAGACGGTGAGTCCTGCATAGCCGTTGCCATCTGCAGTTGATGACTCTGTTTAATCTAAACTCACAGCTTTTTAGAGTGGCAACAAGGCGTAAGCACATTCCACATTGATTTTTCATCTACAGGTTTGATAAGCAGTCTGATTTTTCCACGTGATGCATCGAATATGATAATGCGAAAATATCTCCTGACACATCTATTCCTCTTAACGCACTTAAATTATGCAAAAAACATGCACTTAGGCAACAGCCACCGTATGAAGTCCTGCAATAGTGCGTAGTTCAAACGGGTTGTAATTAGCTTATCAGCACAATGAATGCTGAGGTCCACGTTTTGTCTCCAACCAACGGCAGTTTTTCTGGCTTGTTTCTTAAGCTTACCATACAGAAGATAAGAATTGCACGGTAGACTGAAATGAGTTTCGTCTGCGCATATCAAATCTGTCCTGAATCCTAACAAGAAGCGTAGTGGATTTTGAGTTTGGTCCGTCCAGTGAGTCAGGAAGTAATGAGATGCCGGTATGTCATAAATTCGAGGCACGCCCGGGATGTCGGGACGACCTCCAGCTGCGCTGCCGATTTGTTCACGCTGTGCTTGGTAAGCGATTGGCAGATCGACATTTCGACCGATAGGGCTTTCATTTAAGTCGATCTACAATCGCTTACCAATCACCGCGTGAACAGATGAGCAGCGGAACATGCTTGTTCCGTTGCGCTTTGGGGTTCGTACTAGAACGCTCGTAGGCAGTCCCACAGCGAGTAGTAGCAGAAGTAAATGACATGATCGGTGGGCGTTCATCTGTCGTAATTGATATTCCCAAGCACAACCGACAGGACGACGGGCCCGTGGCTCAACGGTAGTGTCAAACTCCATGACCAAAGATCCCGGGTTCGAATCTCAGGTGATTCGCACTTGGGATTGGGTATGACTGGCTGATTACAGCAAATAAGCCAGAAATGGCCATTCCGACATGCCTTGTCTTTGTGGGTACCATGTCATTTACATCTACTCCTAGTCACTGTGCGCGTGCCTGCGAGGGCTCTAATTTGAGCCTCAGGCCACAATGGAACGAGGACGTTCCGTAACCTGCTCGGTTAGCGTCAATCTCTCATGACATATAGTATATATATTCGGAAGAAATGAGTTCTTTGGGATAGATAAACAAATCTAATTGTCCATTTTACACTTGGGTTCCCCAGGTCTTTCTCAGCCCCGAAGTAATTGTGCCAAATGGTTGACATTTAAACGTGCCTAAAAATCGATTTTGCTCTGTCACTTCTGCTGGCGTAATGTTCTGATTGGCTGACGCCTTTTCCACTTTCTTTGGGGTTACTGTACATAGCACCCAATTCTAAGTGTTCAAATAATGCATGAGTTATCAGAATGAATGGCCTCTAAAAATTCACGATCTTTCTTGGATAAGCAGACACCTACAATGTGAGTCTTGTTCCAGGCGAATTTGTGTCCAGTTTTCAGCGTATGCATACCAACTTGGGACAAGTGGTGTCGCCTTTTACGTCCAGTTGATTTTCGTGTATTCGTGTAGAGGCCGATTTTCCAGTTTGACCACAGTAAACCGAATTGTAGGTGTTGCATGGTATCTTATAGACGACTTCCTTCTTATCTAAATAGCCAACCCTATCCTTGGGATGTTCAAGCTGGTTACGAAGTGTAGTCGTCGCCTTCTAGTCACGTAAATTTGGTTCTTCCTCAAAAGTTCGTCAACCAGTTTGGTCACACTCTCAATGTACGGAAGTGTTTGCCTTTTTTTTAGTTTGGACGCCTGATCGGAACCATCTAGTTTCTTGTCTTTTCTTTTAACTCTTGTCGTCTCATGCATCGGTGTACAAATGATCTAAAATGCACATTCCGAGAAAACAAGTTAAGCAAATAATTGAGTTTTGTTTGATAGGTTGCGTTGTCAGAGCAGTGAGTTATTGCTCGGTTGAGGAGGCTGTTGACGGCACTCCGTTTGTGAGAGATCGGGTGATTGCTCTCGTACTGTTTTTCTTGCGGTAAGCTGAAGTGTGAAATGTTCCGTCTGGCTTTCTCTGTACGAGGACATCAAGAAACGGGTAGCCTCTTCTGAGAGAAATCAAGTTTTACCCGTCAGTTGAAATTACCTGTGTAAGAGTGAGGTATCCACACTAGGTACATACAAACAAGCGGATCGTGAGTGAGGGGTGTGGGCTGCGGTTGCGGCTCCCCTGTGCCCACTCCTTTCACACCCAAGTAATTTGGCTGGGCATCTCATTCGCTGCTTTGTCCCTTTAATCTGACAACGGTTCGTTGCTGACAACTTTAAAATTCGCAAGTACAACTTGCCTTCTTTTCAAAGAACCTCCTTTTCATTATATCGTTCCGGAATTCATAGTACAGCTCCTTTTCTACGTCAATGTTCAATGTTCTTTATCGAAATAAATTAGACAACGGGCGCCCGGTGCAGTGGTAGAAATGTGGACGTTTAGACATTCAATGAGGAAAGCTTCGGGATTCAAGTCCAGGCCCATATTAACCTATGGTTGGACATGGCTGGCTGACGAAGGCCGAAAAGTCACACATGGCCATCCCTGTCTCCATTAGTGGTCGCTGTACGTCGGCCTGCGCGAGCTCTAGGCACAGAGGGAGGGGCGTTTCCAGCGAATGTCTCTCTGGTCTATCTCATTAAATGCTAGTAGGAATAATGAAATTTGCCTACAATTCCAAAAGGCTCCTTGGATGGACCTGTTACACTGATTCTTGTACAGCACATCTCCAGGATATTTCAATTCAGCAAGGATGTCCAGCTTACGAATTAGTTCTTTTCGGGGCGCCTGGAAAATGACACCAGACAAAACGTGACAACTTAAGCAGTATTCATTTTTCACATTGGTCTTCGATACTATTATAGACTCAGATATATTTTGGAGAAAAAATGAACATAACCTTCTCTGCCGTACTACTTTGATACCAAATTACGTCTTCTTCAAAGTGTTTACTTAAAGAAGGCGCATCTTTCATGCTAGATAAAGATGGTGATCATGAGATTTTTAAAGACCATGAAATGTCCATTCATGCAGTATCGCAAGTGTAAACTTCTAAATGTTTTTTAGAGTATAAACATGTTTCAAATGCATAAAAAACTGTATGAATGCTAAACGATTTTTTCTCAATAATTAGAGGAAGAGCACAGTTCTTCTTAAAAGATACGTATGCAGGATTTAGTTTTGAAACCTTGAGCGTAAGTATAAATGCAGGTTCAAGATTATTAAGGTCTTTCGGATTTTTTTAAAACCAAACCATACCTTTCTTCGGTATAAACTTTAAAAAGATTTGATTTGCTGCCAGAGGATTGAAAGAGTGCATGCTTTCTATAACATACTTGAATTTATGAAAACATCGGTAATCAATGGGAAGAATTAATACTACTTAGGTATTGGTTTTTTACGAGGGGGCGTTTTGCACGCAGTTCGATAAAAGCTCATTCAAAAGCCGGAGTCAGAGTATGACTAAAATATCTCAAAATTATGCTGCGCGATGACTGATATTACAACCGCGCTCAAGTTGTCCCTTTTATCTATAAACACATTGCAGAATTTCAGACAACACTTCGTGAGATAGCATATCTACTGTAAAGGCATATATGTTTATTAGCTAGCCTTTCATAACACAACAGGTTGATACAAAATCGCAGCATAAGTTCGAATAAATGCAAATATTTATTGTCGGAAGTATCTAAAACACAATGGAGGCGGTGTCTGTAGTAGTCAACAACAACTATTTCTATTAAAATAGTGTATGCCACGTCCATGGATGACGAAAAACAATTTCTTCGCTCTGTCAATGGCGGCGGAACAACCACTAATCCCACACTGAGTGTTTCAAATAAACCTGTGTGCTGGCCAAAAGTACAAACAAAAATTAACTGGGAATTTCGCCACCTTCCTACTTTCGATTACCCGAAACGCGATTAGTTGACCTTGCGGCTGATTATATCGTTATTAGTTGAGGACGAAACCAGATGTTGACATCATTTGACGTGCCACCCTCCCCCGCATCTACAGTATGTGTGCTAACTCATGAAATGTCAACCGAAATTCCGAAATGCGGTTTCGTTTTGAAAAGATTAATTGAGTAAGATTTTACATCTAATCATCTTGCAGTATAATTGCATAATAATTCATTTGCCTTGGGATGCCGGCTTTTGAACGAATTTCTTTCCGGCTACGTGCAGAAACAATGCCCTGTAAAAAGTGACTGCTCAAGTCGCATGCATTTTTCTTAATGTCCTCGTTGTCCTTTTCGTAGAAAACACACAAAAATATTATTTCTTTCACTCATTCGGTAAAAATTACGTCTTCATTCAAGTTTATGCCCGAAGGAAGGGCATAGTTTGGTTTTTAGAAAGTTTCTCATTGCGGGATTTTTTAATACCGTGAAATGGCCCTTCATAAATCATGTGTCTGCATTTTCGAAAACCGAATTGTGCCCTTTTCGGAGTACAAAATTGGAAGAAAAGTTATTTTCTACTGAATGAGTAAAAGAATGTATATTTTTATATATGTTTTCTCCGAAATCTAATTGATTTGTTAAGAGCATCGAAATCAATGAGAAAAATGCATGCTACATATGTAGCCTCTTTTTACAGGACAGTGTTTTTGCACGTAGCCGGAAAGAAATTCGTCCGAAAGCCGGCCTCCCAAGCCAACTGAATTATTGTGCAATTATGCTGCATGGTGATTAGTTTTGTAAGCCTACTTAAACAATCTTTTCAAAATGAAAATGCATTTTGGGATTTCGGCTAACATTTCATGAGTTAGCGCACTTACTGTAAAGAAGTCACATAAGAGGCAGAGGGAGAGAGCTAGAGACAGATAGAGAATCAGTTAAAAAATGTGCACAGCAATGCCTCTCCTTGAGTCTTCATTTCACTCTGTATACCTGTCTTTCATCTCCTCGTCTTACGCCGGTGCAGACGGGACACCGAGAGTCGCCCCAACAAAATCAGCCGACCTCATGCTGAAGCTGTTGAAGGATGTCTCGACGTCCAAGTTGGTGCCTTCAACATCAACGTCCCCAGCAACCAATGGCGTGGATCAACCAAGCGGATCCTCTCCGGCTGCCAAGGCTGAGCTGCCCATCCTCTACACACCCAATCCTGGTAAAAAGTATGCTTGTTGCGTGTGCGAGAACATCCTACGAAGACCTGTGCAGTTCCACGTCTGTGGACACAACTGCTGCTCCAAGTGCTTTACCGACTTAATGGCGTGAGTCAGCAACGGTACTTTTACTAGTCTGAAATCAGACGTTATGATCGGGTCACTTGTAGAGTCTGTGAAAGTATAAATGAGATAAAGATAAATCGGCGGGGCAGCAAGGAGTCTGGCAAATTCTCTGTTTCGAGCTTGGTCATAGCCTCGTAGGTTATCTATATCCTTGAACACCATCTTCGATCGGAGGTACAAAGGATCTGCACAAATACTACACAATCGGTCTGAGTAATCGCAGTTTCTTTTCTGCCCTGTGAAAGAGAGGAACATGTCGTTGAGACTTTTCCATTCAAAAGGAGTCTCGCACCTTAAAATGGCATTCAGTCATATTGCTGCTACGGTTAAAAACTTACCAGTCAGTCTTTGTTCTAGTCTGCTAACTTATCGCACCTTAAAATGGCATTCAGTCATATTGCTGCTACGGTTAAAAACTTTCCAGTCAGTCTTTGTTCTAGTCTGCTAACTTCTACCCCGCCCGAAGATGTGCGCCTGAACATACGTAGCTGTTTAACTGGTCTCCTACGACCAGCGAAGCATCAACAAACATTACTGGCTGAGGAAGATGGAGTGTGTTCTCCGAGATCAAGTCAAAGGTCTAGGGAAACGGTTTATATCTGAGCAATTCCACCTACAGTGACTTTTAATTAATATATCGATTTTTCCTAGCTGCTCTTGGCAAACCAACGACAGATTGATGTCTGCTGACTGAGTCATCGTTTGAAGGGCACGTGCGAGTAGGTTTGCGGACGCTTTAACCGACCTGGTAAACGCCAAACTAGTAACTGGGTTGCACACTTTAACCAAATTTAGTAGGCACTCATTAGCACCCAAACTGTCGCCCGACATGCGGATAGCATACAAAAGAGATTGACATTTTAATCATGCTTCACAAAGGACTCGTTTGCTGACTAACGTTTACTGCATTAGACAGACGTTTTATCCAGTGGTCTGACCGGAGTTTACTGCGCAGTTCCAACTTGTGGTTTTGAAAATCCTGCATACGACATCTCAGTCAAAATGCCTACTGATATGTGCCTTGTCTGGATTCACTGCCCAGAATTATCCGCCGCCTTCGTTTGCTTGGCAGACATCAACGTTGCGGATTTTCTCCCATGAAAATGAGTGCTCTGTATCCAGCGTTTGCATAGCCACCCGAAATAGATGGCCTCCTCTACGTACATCTGGCTGGTATTGATGAACACGACTGGAGCTACGTTTTTTGGTTGGCCATAATAGACTGGGTCGCATTTGGTGCATGAAACTTTTCGCTTGAAGCAGAAAAACCTGTACATGGGGTGTCGTGGTTTTTTGTTCCAGCATCATTCGGTGTGCGGTAATGCATGAGGCGACAAAGCCTAATGAGGAGAACGGCTTTTAGACGACGGCCTTGCGAATGTTTCCTGACTTTGGGAATTTAACTGGGCAAGTTTCATGTCGGTTGAAAATAACGCCTTACTTTTGGATTACGAAAGTCGCACCACCTACTATATCCCCAATTTAATCTCGTCTATACTCCCCCACCCTTTCCTGACACAAGCCGTATATTCGTTTGTAGAAGATAACTAACGTGCCTAGTAAGATTACTTTTTTTTCAAAATTGATGCCTCTACGGTTTTTGCCCCCCGAAGCGCGGGACAAAACGACGCAAAGAGAAAGAATCTGTGTTATTCCAACCAGGTTAGTCCTTCCTTGCATGAAGAGTGTGTGTAATAATGTTGAGAAAGACATCTGAGACCGCATCAAATACTGGTGTCTCAAAAACTGACGGCAACGTTACGCACCCTAGGGATAGGGCTGGATATTTATATAAAAAGGATGCAGTATACTGTGATCACACCGTCAAACCTGTTTTTAAAAACGTGCATGGACTCCGGTTGATAGGGTACAGGCGATAGCACCTGTTCCATGTAGTTATGCATGCTCTGGATACTGGGCGCGCCCTTATCTGTGACAGAACTCACATTTCATAAGATTTTTCGACAGATTTGAATAATTCCTCTGACCCAGCTGTGAAATACGTGATGTCAAATGAATAATTAAAGTTTGCGAGACTACCTATTAACTAATCGAGCGTGGTAGTCGTACGATGGATTCTAGCTTGGTTGCTGCGGTAATCTCGTTTAAAAAGTCTGCTTAGTATATTCGGATTGATGGATATTATACGCTGACTTTACACAGACATGATTAAATTCACGGACCCCCCAACAGGGATTCGTAGCTCCGGTGGTTAGGACTGTGTCAGTACTCAAGCCTCGTCTTTGCTCTTGTGGTTTCGAATCCCACGAAGATTGCTAAATTTTTCTATAGATAAATTAAGTGAAGAAATAGCCAAGTTGGTGTCCACTCATTTAAGCAATATCGAGAAGTCCTCAGGACATACGCCCATGTGAAGCATGTTCAAGTTGGTATAAAGATGTAAGTCCTTTATACAAGAATAAAAAGGAGGAATGGAAGAGACGGCAGTCAATACAAACGCGATGACTGCCTTTGGCGATCGCTTATTGGCGCAAAAGGTAGACAGTGATTGGTTTTAGGACGCATTTGAAGGATTAACTGTCTCGCGAATTTGCCTCATGTCTACAGACCTGCCGGGTGATAAACGTTCCAAAAGTATAGAATCGACATCACCGTTTTTTCATGGCACATGTTTATCTCAAATATGCATGCATATGTTGCCCAATCAAGTGAAAACGTGCCTACTTCCGCAGGGATGAAAAGAGTATACCATAGAAACAGACATACAGTAGATGTGCTAACTCATGAAATGTCCAAAAAAATTTCGAAATGCGTTCTCGTTTCGAAAAGATAAACTAAGCAGTATTGTAAAACTAATCATGATGCAGCATAAATCTATAATGATCCAGTTACCTCAGGGCGTCGGCTTTCGAAAGAACCTTTTTTCGGCTGCATGCAAGATCTATACTCTGCAAACAATGACTGCTTATGTAGCATGCAATTTTCTCATTGATTTTCGATGTCCTTGAAAATTCAATTATATCTCATGGAAAACATGGATAAAAATATTCATTCTTTTACTTATTCGGTAGAAAATCACGTCTTCTTTTTAATTTCGTGGTCAAAAGAAGAGTTTAATTCGGTTTTAGAAAACTTTTCTAATTCCCGAATAATTTCGAACCCGACCTGCTGTTACACTTGCATTCAGCGTTTCAAAACTACAAGCTGTATATTTTCCGTGTACGGAAAACCATTCATTTCTCTACGGTGTTAAGAGGAGACCATATGAGGTTCATAAAATTAAGCAGCGGATTTGAGTAATATTGTTAACTTTACAAGCCACATTCGTAAATGCAGATACATGACGTTTCATGAACGGCCATTTAACGGTATTAAAAAATCTCACAATTAGAAAGTTTTTAAAAACCGAATTATAGTTTTCTTTTGAGTATGAAATTGGAGGAAGACATAATTTTCTACTGAATAAGTAAAAGGATGAATAATTTTATGCATGTCTTTTATGACATATAATTGAATTTTCAAGGGCATCGAATATCAATGACAAAATTGCATACTACTTAAATAGTCATTTTTGCAGAGTATAGATCTTGATTGTAGCCGAAAATAAGTTCATTCGAAAGCCGACACCCTGAGGTAACTGGATCATTATAGATTTATGCTGCATAATGATTAGTTTTACAACACTACTTAATTTATCTTTTCGATACGAGAACGCATTTCGAAATTTTGGTTGACATTTCATGACTTAGCACACCCATGAGTTAGCAATATCTTTTAGTTTCTACCGTAGACAAACTTTGGCGTTGCGCCTCACTGGATCTAAAGGGAATCAAACCTAATCACATATTCCGGTCTTTAGAACTGCACTGAGAAAATGGTGGTGTTTTCGAAACCAGATCGGTATTGGTCATCTGGAAACCGGCCGAGGGGAATCTTCTTATTCGGCAACAAAAAAACTCGAACAGTTAGAACGTCCTTGCCAAGGACCGCATTTAAAGCGTCGGCGCACGAGATGCTTCAAGTTTGAATCATAGGAGCCATATCTGCCAGCTGAAAGCTTAGTCCATACGCCCATTTTCTCGATAAATCTGCGGAAAATAATTAGAGCCCCCCATTTTCTGTCACATAATATCGATTCCTCTTTGGGTTGGTTCATCTGATCTCTGATTTAGTTTCACTTCATATTCTCTACTTGCACGCTCCTCGTCTGATTGGCTTGGCTGCAACAGCAGTAACTCCTGCGAGGCGACTTAGGTCTCAGCCTGATCAAGGGGCAGGCAATAGCACAAAGCTTGGCAGACCTTGGGAAGGTCAGCTTGTCGATTAATTGGACTTATACGTGCAAAATACGTCCAACATGAGGCCGCCTTGCCTGCGAATAATTTCGAACCAGGAGCGCAGTTCACTTGAAAGCCGGAGGTAAAGGGGGGCCGCTGGACGTATTATTCCAGCTGGTCCTTGTGTAGACAGATATCCATTTGTCGTTTGGTTCCCCCAAGCTCTAGCTTTTACCTGCTTTTGGACCCATGATATCTGCAAGCACTCAGGAAATAAGGTGATTGGTTGAAATGGGGGACTCAATATCTAGATTGAAGGAAGTAGAGTGGTACTTCTCGTGCCTGAGGCAAAACGAAATCAAATGAGCCAGTCCCTTTTATCCAACGTCGATTTACGCCCGCCATGTAGTCCGTTCAGTGCCACCGTTAGAGGAGAAAACTTCTCACGTCTCCTCTCCGGTCTCAGAATGTCTCTAAGTGGTTGGCCGTACTAGTTCTATGTGCAGCATCAAAAAAAGGTCCCCCATGAAATCATGTACTATATCGTAAACTAGCATAGCTATGCAATTCTAGTCAGTATGACTTCCCGAAAGAACAATCCCGTCCCACAAAGTTGTCTTACTACGGTGGACATCCCGAGTGGGAAGTGTAACTCTGGAGAAGGTGTCAAGTGCTATCTTTCAAACGCAACACAAACTTCGTTACACTTACTCACCGGTCATCTATAGAATGGCTCTGTGGACATGGTCTGCGTGAAACGGCTGGGGATTAGAATTCTTCCAGTACATAAGAACTCCTACTAAGTACGTGAACCTGGTAATCATCTGGTGACTTTTGGATTGATTACCTAGGAAATCGTGTCTGGGCAGTCAGCTTACAGTATCAGATTTGGTGGACTTCACACGTTACAGAAGAATAGGTGGGCAGATTTTCCCAAAGGTGATTGAAATTACGGCTCCCGGTGGAACCTCGTAGCTCTGGTGGCTAGACCGTTGGCTGTGCTGAAACCTTCCCCTTTTTTATCATGGGTTCGAATCGCACTAAGGTCGCCGAGTTTTTCACAGTTGGGTGAGAATGAATTATTCAAAATTTGCCGAAACTCCTATTAACATACAAACTTCTCGTTTATGTTTGATCCACTGTCGGACAATAGGGATGGATAACAATCGGGAGATGGCACCCAAAAAATCCGTTACCTAGAAATACTACCTTTAACAGTGGACTCAAACGCCTTCAGGCTATATCAGCGGTTGCAGGCCTACTTTCACGCACCGCTTGGACTTTCCCCGACAACCTAACATGGGCTGCCCGAACGAACATCGCAGGAGGTTACATGGACGATGGCCGCTATTACCCAACCTTCCCCATCGTTACACACATACACCTGAATATACGGCATACATACGCATTATGGCAGTTTATTACAAAACAAAATCACTTTTAAATAGGATAAGTCTGCACAACATGGGACAGGAACAGTTCCCAGGCATCTGTCAAAGACATGGCATTGAGGCCAAACCAAAGACGAGACTATACATCGTCTATGTGGGCCCACACAGCTTGACCACATACAGGGCCTCCCTCGTGGAGTTTCCTTTTCAGTCTACTCCAATATGCCGCAATGGCATTGGTGTGCCGTCCGGTGGTAGGGGCCTTGAAGTTCTTTGAGTGGTTAACAGAGAAATGTAGATAACCTTCAGAGGGAAGACGATTATACGCCTCCCACTCGTCCGTTGTCACTATACTGCCTTTGGCGACGCATTTTTTAATAACGGGACGGAGAGCGGGCCAACTTCGATCATTCATGTGTTCAAATAAGGCTTTCTGCCAGCTAGTATCGTACATCCCCACCAGCCATTACCCATAAAACCCCTATTACCGCCTGTCCCGTAAAACAGGCTGCTTTCGTTAGGCGGATTTTTTTGGGTGCCATCTCCCGATTGTTACCTAAAAAATAACTACTTAATTAGTTTGCGTCTTTTACATTGATTTTCGATGGTGTTATAAATTCAAATATATACTTTATATAATCATGCACAAAAATGTGCTTTCTTTTACTCGTTCGGTAGAAAATCCCATTGTCTTCAAATTTTATACCCAAAGACAGTGTATATTTAAGTCTTGAAAAAGTTTCCCAATTCCTGAATTGTTTCGAGCCTGATCAGCCGTTGCACTAGCGTTTAGCGATTTCAGTCTACGAGGTGTATGCCTTCCGCGTAGGGAAAATCATGCACTCCTCTATGCCCATCTCCCGATTGTTACCTAGGGATGTGATGGTAGGGGATGTACACCGATCGTGCTTACGGAATTCACTCGTTCCATTGTGCCTTACGGGCTCTATCTCGAGCCCAACCAGCAGCCGCACAGCGGCGAATGACATAGGCAGTATGTCATTACCTACAAAGACAAGGTAGACTGGAATGGCCATTTATGGCTTATTAGTCGTCGTTAGCCAGTCATACCCAACCCTGAAGTGTGGAACACCCGAGGCTCGAACTCGCGACCTGTTAGTTAGAAGTTCACGTCTCTAACCACTGGGCCACGAGCCCGTTGCCCTGTCGGTTTCGATCGGGAATATACAATGGTAGGGGGCGCTCACCGATCGTTCATACGGAACTCACTCGTTCCATTGTGCCTTAAGGGCTCTCTCTCGAGCCCAACCAGCAGCCGCACAGTGGCGCATGATATAGGCAGTGTGTGATGTGGTAAGATCGCATGGGGCATGTGTCAAAACGATCGCCATCTATTGTTTGTTTAAACCACCGGACAGACTTCCTCTTCTATAACAGCCTATAGCATTTATGGCTGATTAGTTATGATGACGAAAGTATTCCCGAATCCCTGCCTGAGACCGATGTCCAAGTCGCACAAGTCAAGTCACAAGAGGTTTTTAAATCCTCACTGACCAAACCTTTCATATGCTAAACACCGCGTGTGTCCGACCGCATGATGAATATTAAGAGAAATCTTCAAAAGTGTTCCTAGACATTTAAATTCGAGAAGAATGTGAAGATTCGGGCGACTAGGCCTGCTCCTTCATCTTCATGCCATAGTGAAGGCAGAAACCAATTGCCATTTTGGAACCATAAAAGTGCTTAGTGGTCTAGATGATGCTGCTTATGCCGGAGGAAGTACTGACAAAGTCAAGAGGAACTGGGATGGTCCTTCCTGGCACATTTGCCGTCGTCAGCCAGCCATACTCAGCCCCAAGTCTTGATAACCCATGATTCGAACCTGAGTTCTCTGTTCATTGGGCGTTAAGTAGTCCCTCTCTTTACCATTTAGCTACGGGCTCGTTGTCCTCTCGGTTGTTATAGGGAATATTTAATATAGTAAAATTACCTTCACCGATCGAGGTAAGGGGCATGCTCGTCCCTTTTTTAGCTTCTTAATACGCCCAGTATTCGCGGGAGGGTAAAACAGCAGCTCACTTAACGTGCGAGTATAGGTAATTGGGAAAATAATTATTCGCGGACACGTATCAACCGATGAAAGCAGTTTCCAGGAAAATCGGCCCTATCCCTCACCCTTTTGCCAGTGAGGAAGCGACTTTGTCCCCTGAGGAGTTCTAGACGGCTCTTCGGATTATAACCCCGTCTAGACTTAGATGCCAGGCCCTCATTTAGTTTACAGCTTAGATGTAACCTGACGGCAGCAGACCCTTTCCCTGTGCACTGTTTAGTTGGCATTATTTGGAAAAAAAACGTTCTCAGCTGGTCATCGCCGACCATCATTGGTCAACTTTTTCGTTATCCAGTCATTTTTCTACTTTTCTACAAATTTTGTTACCTTCCATTTTCTGGGTGGCTTTGATCTTTGTCGCTCATTGGTCTGTTTCCGATCGACCACTTTCCAGATATCTGTCCAAATGCTCCAGATCTTAGTTCGGGTTTAATCGTTACACGGATTCTCTCAGTAAATCAGGAAAGCCTACCGTTTACACCAGAAGCTTTGATTGGAACTATGAAGTTTAAAGGTACATTAAGTGGGCTAACTCATGAAATCTCAACAGAAATTCCGAAATGCGTTTCCGTTTCGAAAAGACTAATTAAGAAGGGTTGTAAAACCAATCATCGTACGGTATAATTCTATAATAATTCAGTTACATCAGGACGACGGCTTTCGAACAAACTTCTTCGCGGCTGCATCTCAAAACCACACTCCGTAAAAAATGACTACTTATGTGGCATGCATTTTTTCCATTGATTTTCGATGCACTTAAAGATTAAATTATATTACATGGAAGACATGCATAAAAATATTCATTCTTTTGCTCATTCAGTAGAAAATTGTATTTTTTTTAATTTTACACTTTTCCAATTCACGAATTACTTTAAACCCGACCTGCCTGTGCAATTGCTTTCAGGGTTCCCAAACTATCAGTCATATAATTTTCATGTACGGAAAACCGTACAGGTCTCGACGGTATTAAGAGGAGACCATATGAGGTTCATAAAATTACGCATTGGATTTGAACCACGTTAACTTTACAAGCCACATTGGCAAATGCAGAGACATGACGTCTTATGAAGGGCCATTTCACGGTTTTAAAATGTCTCACAATTAGAAACTTTTTCAAAACCGAATTATATCCTTCCTTCGAGTGTAAAATTGACAGAAAACGTAATTTTCTAATGAACGCGCAAAAGAATGAATACTTTAATGCATGGTTGCCATGAAATTTAATTGAATATGTAAGTGCATCGAAAATCAATGAAAAAATGCATGCTACATAAGCAGTCATTTTTTACAGAGTATGGTTTTTACATACAACCGGAAAGAAGTTTTTTCGAAAGCCGGCGTCATGAGGTAACTGAATTATTGTAAAATTATGCTGCACGATGATTCGTTTTACAACCCTGCTTAATTAATCTTATCGAAACGAACGTGCATTTCCGGATTTCGGCCAACATTTCACGAGTTTGCCCACCTACTGTAGTCTTCAGTGCTAGTGATGTTTCTTTAAGTTCGCAGTCGCGCAACCTACTCAGGGTTCGTATACTGTCTGTGTCCGAGACCGAATATGGGCCTTCTAAACTCTTAAATACAACCCTTTCCTCTTTTAGGTCATCAGGACGCTGTCCCGTGGACGGTCAAGTGTTGGAGCGCAGCGAGGTGACCGTGGACAAGCAGATGCAACGTGAATTGGACCACCTAGGTGTGAAGTGCAATTACTTCGAGCAAGGTTGCACCTGGACAGGCCTGGCCAGCGAGTTGGACGAACACTTGGAGGACTGCCAGTGTCGCCTGGTCACTTGCGTCTACGACTGCGGTGTAGAATTCGAGGTCGGTATTCTACTTTTCTGTCTTTGGACAGTATCCATCAGTATCTGTGTGCCACCTATATCCCATAGTATGTTAGAAGCGGGCTTGTCAAGGGCAGCGGGGTGTGCGACTTTTCGATTGGACATTTCAAGGTCACGCATTCAGATGGTCGATTATGACTTCGATGCGCTTTAAGTCACTGCAAGCGAATACCTTTTTAAAAGCAGATGGCTCATTGGCATCCTTCGGAATGCATGGCACGACAGACAGGCCCTGTTAAGGAATAAAATAGACTAGAAATGAATGAACGACTTTTTTGAAAACTCGCTTCGTCCGGTGGGGCCTCGTAGCTCAGATGGTTAGAGCGTTGGCTGTACTAAAGTCCTCCCCTTACTGCGCGGGTTCGAATCCCACCGAAATGCCGAGTTTTTCACAGTTAGGTCAATATGAATGTATAATATTTTAGTTTACTAAGGGGTTTACTTGCCGTTTCAATTTTCTAATGTACCGTTTGAGACCGCTGTTTCACATTAAGCATTTCTGCCAGCTGAAACAGGAAGCCAACATCAGGCTAACTGCCTGAACAATATCTTTTGACGGTTTCTCGAGCGGTAGACGATTTTCGAATTGTCGGTTTTTGAGTCTTCCACACATTTTCCAAAAGCAGGCGGGCAGCAGACGGAATTAGGTCGCGAGACCTTGGTATATCTTAGATTTGAAAAAGACAGTACAACTCGCGGGTACAAAACTCCTTGCTCTTTTGCAACTGCAAGGTTTTGAAATTCACAACTGCTGTACTTCACTCATTTAAGATAATAAGTAAAGATAGAGTTTGAGGAAGGGGATATGAGCATCAAGGCTTGACTTAAGCCTTTATACTTCCACACTTCAAATTTCTGGGGTAAAGTTCTGCACCAAATGTCCTCCTTCTTCCTACTTTGTCCGTTCTTATACTTGTCCCCTCAATGTGATCGGTATAACCGTTGACATCATTGCTGTCGCTAAAACCGCCGCCGCCGCCGCCGCCGCCGTCACCACCACCACCACCACCACCACCACCACCACCACCACCACCACCACCACCACCACCACCACCATCACCTCTCGTTTGCATTCCCTAATATACATCTTTGCTTTTTTGGACGATTGCTACATGTGGGTTTAATTCGAAATCTGATGAGGTTTGGTGTCTGTTTGATTTTCCCCATCTGTCGTGCAGCTGCGCTTCTTGGAGCAGCATCTCAGGTCGGACTGTCCTCGTCGACCGGTGGTCTGCCAGTTTTGTCAGGAGAAGATTGAGATGCAGGAGCAGCCCCAGCACACAGAAACCTGCAAACGCTTTCCCATAGCCTGCCCCAATGGCTGCAAACGTAGTGAACTGCCCAGGGAGGAGCTGGCTGAACACCTGGCCCTGCACTGTCCCCTGCAGCTCAACAACTGTCCCTTCACGGAGTACGGCTGCACATTTCGAGGCAAAAAGAAGGCCATTAGGGATCACCTATCGGAGGAGATGCTGCTGCATATGTTGTTGCTGCGGGATGCACTGCACGAGTTCCGCAACCTCTTGGACTTGCAGGTATGCATCCACATAACCGCATTTCACCGGAGGGGGTAGGGTGGGCGAAGTGCCGTTTGCGATGTCTGCTGGGCGGTGGGCGTGGACTGTCGCCAGCTGTCATGTTGTATAAAAGGAAAACGACAATAACAGTCCGTCCGTCGCACACGACCAGCTCTACTACCTGAGACGTCCACTGAGGTTGTTTCTAATGAAACAGACCCCTGTATGCCTATCTCACATGCGCCTAGAATACCCATTGCACCGGCTACTGTAGGGCGGAGGACCCCAATTAGACGTCGGTGGACTGTGGATCGTGTACTTATGCATGAAATGTCAAATGAAATTCCGAAATTCCGTTTCGTTCCGAAAAGGTAAATTAAGTAGGTTTGTAAATCTAATCATCCTGCAGCATAATTCTATAATAATTCAGTTACCTCAGGATGCCGGCTTTCGAACCAACTTCTTTCCGGCTGCATGCAAAAACTGTACTCTCTCAAAGATGACTACTTATGTAGCATGCACTTTCCTTATTGATTTTCGATGCCATTAAAAATTCAATTATATTTCATAGAAAATATGCATGCAAATATTCATTCTTTTGCTCATTTGGCAGAAACTTACGCCTTTCTCCAATTTTGTACTCGAAGGAAGGGCATAATTCAGTTTTCAAATTTCCGACTAAATTTGAACCCAACCTGCCGTCACGCTTGCATTCAGGGTTTCCAAACTACAAGCCGTGTAGATTTCGCCCACAGAAAACCACACATTTCTCTACAGTATTAAGAGGAGACCATATGGGTTTCATAAAATACAACGATAGATTTAAGCCAAACTGTCAACTTATCAAGCCACGTTGGTAATTGCGGAGACAAGGCGTTTTATGAACGGCCATTTCACGGTATTAAAAAATTCCACAATGAGAAATTTTCTAGAAACAGAATTATACCCTTTTGGAGTATAAAAATGGAAGAAGACGCAATGTTCTACCGAATGTGCGCAAGAATGAATATTTTTGTGTGTGCTTTTCATGATAAATAGTTGATTTTTTAAGGGCATCGAAAATCCATGGGAAAATGCATGCTACGATAGTAATCATTTTTTCCACAGTGTGGCTTTCGCACGCAGCCGGAAGAAAGTTCATTCAAAAGCCGGCATCCTGAGGTAGCTGAAATATTATACAATCATTTTGCAGGCTGACTACTTTTACAACACTACTTAAGTAATCTTTTCGAAACGAAAACTCATTTCGGAATTTCAGTTGACATTTCTTTATTTAGCCCACATACTGTACTTGCATTATATATCTGAGTACTGATGACTGAAGGTTGCACTTAAGACCAGAGGAACAAAAAACGGAGATCAGCTGAGCATGACGTTTACGATGACAGAAATGTCTGCCGGGGCATAGGCCCAGTTGTGCGAAGGTCAGGCACTTTTTCAAGCTGGATACAGTATCTGCATACATTCATCATTTTACTCGAAAGTATCGATTTTGCCCTCGATCGTCTTCTATGTTTTCCTGCATTCCGTCAACTTGCCGTCCGGCCTGCTGCGCCGCCATCCACCACATTCCCGTATGACACAATTAACAGTATACTGACAGCCAATCGGGATCCTTCATATTATTGTTGCTCCACCGTCTTCCAGTGGTCACAGGGGGCATATACGGGTGTGGGTTGACTCGTGAAATGTCAACCGAAATTCCAAAATGCGTTTCCGTTTTAAAAAGATTAACTGAGAAAGATTGTAAAACGAATTATCATTAATAATTTAGTGGCCAGAGAAGGTCGGCTTTCGAACGAACTTCTTTACGGCCGCATTCAAAAACTGTACCCTGCGAAAATGACTACTTATGTAGCATAAAATGTTCCCAGTCATTTTCGATGCCCTTAAAAATTCAGATAAAGTTAATAGAAAACATACATGAAAATATTCATTCTCTTGCTAATTTGGTAGAAAATTACGTCCTCTTCCAATTTTATACCCGAAGGAAGGGCAGATTTCGGTTTTCAAAAACTTTTCCAATTTCAGAATAATATTGCATCCGCTCTACCGGTACACTTGGATTCAGAGTTTCCGAACTACAAGCCGTATATTTTCCGTGTACGGAAAACCACACTTTTCTCCACGGTAATAAAGGGGGACTGTATAGTGTTCATAAAATTTAACAGTGGATTCGATCCATATTGTTAACTTTACAAGCCACATTGGTAAATGCAGAGGCAAAACATTTTATGGGCGGCCATTTCACGGTGTTAAAAATCACAAATTTAGAAACTTTTTTAAAACGGAATAATACTTTTCTTTCGAGCATAAAATAAGAAGACGATGTCATTTTCTACCGAATGAGTATTTTAATGCATGGTGTCCATGAAATTTAATTGACTGATTAAGGGCATCAAAAATTTCTGCGAAAAATGCATACTAAATAAGTAGGCATTTTTTTACAGAGTGAAGGTTTCGCATGCAGCTGGGAGGAAGTTCATTCGAAAGCCGACATCCTGAGGTAACCGTAGTATTATAGAATTATATTTTACAACCCTAATTAATTGATCTTTTTGCAAAGAAAGCGCATTTTGGAATTTCGGTTGACATTTCATGAGTAAGCCAACTTATTGCAAATGAGTTTGCAGTGGGGCAGACTTGCGTGCGGCGTCTACCGCCAACTCTTCCCTCACCTATCAACCTTTGATGTCGAGGCAATTTCAAGACGACCGGGTGGTAGACTTTGGGAGCAGGGATTGACAAGGCTAGGCACCCACTCGACCTGCTCGCCACACGTGTCGAGTTTTTGCTGAAGGGGAGTTTAGATCAAATGCCCATTAAAGTGTCATAGAGGTTACATCAAGCAGAAGCCCGTGGGCCTGAATGCCATCTCTTAAGCCCTTAACCCCACACATACACACCGTACCGACTACGAGAACTGATTTATCCAGTCAGCTGGCGACCTTCCAAGCCACGATTTTTTCGCGATGTGATAATTTCAAGGCGCTTTGGACTTTCTACGATGAGGGATGTGCTTAAGGAAACAGAGCAAGTGTGTCAGGATCACCGACGACCACTGAATCAGAACTGGGCGGTACAGTGTCCCTAACCCTCAGTAGCGACGTTATGCGAGGACAAGCTGATTCAGTACCCTCGTGCGCCCTCTCTCGCTTCGAAATAACGTTTCCAGCAAGGGTGATGAAAAGAGGGATAGTCACTAACTACTAACTCCCGTCGGTCTGGTAAATCCCCCCTTTCCATGCGATAGCTTCGAGTCATACTCATAAAGATACGAATTACCATAGGTACTACAGTAGATGTGCTAACTCATGAAATGTCAATCAAAATTTCGAAATGCGTTCTCGTTTCGAAAAGATAAATTAAGTAGTGTTGTAAAACAAATCATGATGCAGCATAAATCTATAATGATCCAGTTACCTCAGGGTGTCGAAAGAACTTATTTTAGACTGTATGAAAGATGGATACTCTGCAAAAAATGACTACATATGTAACATGCAATTTTCTCAGAGATTTTCGATGTTCTTGAAAATTCAATTATATTTCATAGAAAACATGCATAAAAATATTCATTATTTTACTCATTCGGTAGAAAATCACGTCTTCTTCCAATTTCAAACTCAAAAGAAGAGTAGAATTCGGTTTTAAAAAGTTTCAAACTGTGAGATTTTTTAATAACGCTAAATGGCCGTTCATGAAACGTCATGTATCTGCATTTACGAATGTGGCTTTAAAAGTTAATAATATTGCTCAAATCCACTGTTTAATTTTATGAAACTCATATGGTCTCCTCTGTACACCGTATAGAAATACATGGTTTTCCGTACACGGAAAATATACAGCTTGTAGTTTTGAAACCCTGAATGCAAGTGTAACAGCAGGTCGGTTTCAAAATTATTCGGGATTTAGAAAAGTTTTCTAAGACCGAATTCTACTCTTCTTTCGAGTATGAAATTGGAAGAAGACGTGATTTTCTACCGAATGAGTAAAAGAAGGAATATTTTTATGCATGCTTTCTATGAGATATAATTGAATTTTCAAGGACATCGAAAATCAATGAGAAAATTGCATGCTACATAAGCAGTCATTTTTTGCAGAGTATAGATCTTGCGTGCAGCCGAAAATAAGTTCTTTCGAAAGCCGACACCCTGAGGTAACCGGATCATTATAGGTTTATGCTGCATGATGGTTAGTTTTACAACACTACTTAATTTATCTTTTCGAAACGAGAACGCATTTCGAAATTTTGGTTGACATTTCATGAGTTAGCACATCTACTGTACGTTAAAATGGAACCACCCAGCCTTTGTCGCCACACAATGGACCAAGCACGGCCGTCGATTAAGGAAAAAGTATCTGGTCTGCCTTTTTGCTGGAATGCAGCCAATTAACGAGAAAATTTGGCTCGTGACTTCTGTTGTACGATGCACGGCGATGTTAATCCGTTTTGGCCGGTGAGGACCGACACAATGTCAGAAAACGGCGAGAACTTGTGCAGACACGGAAAGTAGCCTCCCGCAAGGCGGGTGACCTTGAGCTAGCCTCCAGGACGGGCATCTATTCCCGTGTATTTACCCTTATTTCCCTAAAATGTGACCTTAGACCGCCCATATCATACCGTCACGTCTCATAAAACATGGGGCTTGATCCACGTCTAGTTCAATAACTTGTGAGCTCTGTGGCGCCCTAGTAGTGTTGTAGTCATCCGACAAAACCTCAAATAGCAGGCCAAAACCGGAGGCATCGGAGGGGGGGGTTTGTCATGGACAGAATCCCGTGTTGCTACCTCGGCCTGAGCAGGTGCTAACGGTATTAAGTCATGACTGAGACAGAGAGAGAGAGACAGCAGTGTCTACTGCTTTTATGGGTCTGTGGGAGCGAGTCCAAGTGCTCCGGTGGTGGCATGCTAAACTGGGACACAGACGGCTCTAGCTGTCTGAATAGGTGCGTATACTCATATTACAGTCGTTCAGATAGTAGAATCAGTGCGTCTGGAATCGCTCGCTGAGGAGCATTGATCGAAGTCGCCGAGCATCACAATGGCAACCGTTAGCCAAAGTTCTGGACGGCCTCTTCGGCAGAGCACGGAGGGATGCATGAGGGGCTCTTGAAATAACTCACGTAACACGTAACTCAGAAATCTTTGAGGAAAAGGAAGTGCCAACCGGATCATGGGCATTGTTTGTCTGACGTTTTGAAGAACTTGGGCGGCTCTCCAACATCAAAGCGTCTAGTGCAAAAATCGATCAGAATTTTGAATAAACAGCCGAATTATTTGGCCTTGGGCTGATCGATTTTTTCCTCTCTCGTCGCCTTGGCCTACTGGCCGTCTTTTGTGGGTTTTGGTGGCCTCCGGTTTTGTGTGTCGTCACCTCCATTGGGGGTATTCGCGTTTGTGTCCCGTTTTTGGGTGAATTGGTCGATCAGCCAAAGGCCAGCTAATTCGGCTGTCTATTCAAAATTCTGATCGATTTTCGCACTAAAGGCTTTTATAATGTAGAGCAGCCCAAGCTCTTCGAAACGTCAGCCAAACAATTCCCATGATCCGGTGAGCGCTCCCCTTTCCTCAGATTATCGACCCGGATCTCTTCCTTTTGCTAACCTAAGCTCAAAATATCTTTAATTAAGCAAGCACGCAGGTATTATAAAAGATACCTAGTGTCAAAGTACTTTATGTTTCAGGTACAGTCTTAAGTTGAAACGCCGTTTTCCAAAATGTGCGTAAGATAAGAACCCCAAGCGTATCTTTTCCCATAAGTACGAATAGATTTTTTGGGTTTCGAAGATTCGTTTTAAAATAACCTTTCAGAAGCAAGCCGCCATGCTGACAGGTAGGGCTGAGGTCGATATCATGATTAACCCAGATTAACCCTCCGACCTCTCCAGGGTGGTCTTTTGCAAGTAGAAATACGGAGACATTTTGATCGACATCGTGCAAGCTTCGTCACATGTTGTTCGCGGGCAACGACACATCGCCGCTTGAATTGTATGAGCCTAACAGTCAGTCTGCCCAGAATCAACCTAAGTTCCTGGTATGACGTTCTGCAGTGGTCTGTTGTGAATCATTGACCGGAAGGTGACCAGTAATGTAGGGATCGTCAGAAATCTTGAGTGACCGGTAGTTCCAATCTTTCAGAACTAATGTTCAAATACCCATCCTTTGATTGGTAACGTTTGTCTTCCATAGTCTGACAAGCACCTACAGACATTCTGAATGCTGCGGCCGTTGTCTTATCCTAGTTTTGCTAAAAGACAGCCTTCGAGATGTCGCTCAAAACTTAACAGATGGTTCGTGATGGTGGTATTTGGAAACAGTCAGTTTAAAAACATGCATGTAAAGGTGTCTTTGACGCTCGAACACGCCTGCACCTCTTCTGTTCCCGACCTCACATGGAAACGGTGTTCTTCAGTCTGTCATGACTGCAGGTCCGAATACGTGGGTTTCCTTTTAGCCAGGCAGTCGGCTTGGAGCAGCCACAAACAGTTACATTACGAAGATAGAACAACGGCCGGAAATCGACAACGGTAAAAACAACAGAAGACAAGGATTGTCATTTCCGGCTTACTCGAAGTCATCAGAGAGCCGTAACTCACCCTAGAGCCCAAAATAGGGAATTTGACCCGGGTTCAGTTGGCCCTTTGGTTCTGGACCTAGTCTGCGTCATTGGAGGTCAGGAAGTCCGATTTAGGCTTAGATGCCTTTAAACGTGTAGGATTCTGCATTTTTTACACTGGATGATACGAAACTGCTATGACTTAGCTCGATCTGACGGTTACGGTAGTTTGTGCCTATGTTGGTTTTGCCGCCTTCCTATAGAATGCTAACTATGGAAACACGTACAGTGCGTGACCTATCTCATGAAATGTTGGCTGAAATTCTGAAATGCGTTTTCGATTAGGAAGGATTACTTGGTCGCGGTTGTAATACTGATTATCTTAAGGCATACTCTTATAACATTTTGGACTCGGCAGGATGTCGGCTTTTAAAGGCACTTCTTTTCAATCTTCTGTAGAAAGTGCGCTTGGTAAAAAATGACTGCTTAAGTAGCATGCATTTTTCCCATTGGTTTTCGATGGTTTTGAAAATTTGAATATATCTTATAGAAACCACAAACAAAAATAGACTTCCTTTTAGTCAATCAATAGATAATCACGTCTTCTTTATATTTTATACTTAAAGAAGGAGTATAATTAGGTTTTAAGAAGGTTTTCTGATTGCCGACTAATTTGGAGCCTAATCATTCGTTGCATTAACGCTTAGTGATTACATTCTACAAGGTGCATGCGTTCCGCGTAAAGAAAATCCCATATTTTTCTATGTCCTTAAAGAGATATCATACCGGGTCCATAACATTTTGCAATGGATGCGGAGCATGTTGTACATTTCATGAGGAGCATTGGTAAACGGCCAGGTACGATGCAATATGAATGGACATATCGCGGTCTTAAAAAGTCTCATAATTAGAAACTTTTTTAAAACCTAATTATACTTCTTCCTTAAGTATAAAATATGAAGAAGGCGTGATTCTCTATTGACTGACTAAAAGAAAGCACATTTTGTTTGTGGTTTCTATAAGATATATTCAAATTTTCAAAACCATCGAAAACCAATGGGAAAAATGCATGCTACTTAAGTAGTCATTTTTTACCAAGCACGCTTTCTACAGGCGATTAGAAAAAGTGCATTTAAAAGCCGACATCCTGCCGAGTCCAAAATGTTATAAGAGTATGCCTTAAGATAATCAGTATCACAACCGCGACCAGATAATCCTTCCTAATCGAAAACGCATTTCAGAATTTCAGCCAACATTTCATGAGATAGGTCACGCACTGTACGTGCCGTTCCACTGTTCCTTTGGTATAATTCCGCTCAAGTGTGCATTCCTGATTGACAGTGTGACTGACAAACGTTCATGCAATAGTTGGATAAAATTGCTTTCTAAATGAAGATTAGGAAACTCTTTTGCTGGCTAAATGTCCGAATTATGGGCTTTAGAAAAACAAGGTAGGCTGATTGTACCAGTTTTACTGGTTCCGATGCTGTTGTCAAGATGATATTTGCCTTGAAAAGTAGCCTTTTTCCAAAGACCAACTGTTTTCTGCGTGGTCTCATGGTTAACTGAACAATTGTTCCGTCGCCATGGCAACATGTGTCTACTGAATGCAAAGCGACATGTAGGAGGAGGAAGGGGTTCGCGTGTTTTTTGTTTTCCCATCTTTTCTGAAAACGTTTATTGAAGTCATGTGTGCTTGGAAAAACACACCACAATATATAATATTTTGGTGCGCTTTGCCAGACCAAGGACAGCGTATCAGAACGATCACGTAAGCAGTATTATTCGCGTTGCTTGATGCCTATTGAATATGTACATTGCGGTGTCCCCTAAGGCAAACGGAAGTGACCGACCTGAGAAAGTTTACAGAACGATGATATCGAATCGCATGCAATTATCTGTGTAGAAATGAGAAGAGTGATGGAGATGTTACGAATTACAGGATGCTTGAAATTTCCAGTTAGAAGAGAGGCAGTTTTCTTTTTTAGAGGCCGGCATATGAACAAATGGGGAAGCGAATAGCACAAGGGACTTGTTTTTCAGACAAACGTTACTAAAAGCAGCAAAGAGGTTGTTTCCTGGAAACAGTCATGGAGAAGGAGACTCGATTGCTTGAACAAGAGCTTTATTCGCCTGACGTTTCGGATTTCTGCTCGAACTAATTATCAGAGACAACTGCAGCTACGGGTATTTTGGGTATTTATGGGATGCAGTCGCCATGCTACCGCATACCTAGGACTATTTACGGCTCCCCTCCCCTTCAACAGGGATCTTTGCACTCGGTGTGCTGACTGTTTGATGGCTGAGATTCGAGTCGTTAATCCTTTCCGTTTCATCACATGTGCTGGATATTGGTGTGATGATTGCTCGACCATCTGGCACATCGACTCTGACCTTGTGGACAGTGTTCACTTGTGCGCTCCCCGCGTGGCTTGTTCTTCGACCTAGGCGAAGTCTCAGCACCGAGTATGGAAGAGGAAGGTCACCGGTGCTACGGCCACTTGCTGGGGCACGCAGTGAGCATTGTCGCTTGCAACGGTCCAAATGTCGCTCGTGGAGTCTCCTGGATGGAGATGCACGCACATGGGCGTCTGTCGTGCAGTTACCTCAAGGCGGCTGGTTTGTCTTTCAGGTCGGCAGATCCGAAATGGCACCGTGTGGCATTGTGGCATTGCAAGCAGTGCCAAGGATTTTGCGAGCAATGACACCTGCTGACTTAAAACTGTACATGCGAACACTTGATGATCGCCTATACTCCTCTGAAGCATCGAAGAAATTGTGAACTTGACAACGGACAAGGCGATGAGACCATACGACTGGCGGGCACGTGGGTCATATGGGATGCTTCAGTTGCAAATGTGGACTTCTCCTCCTATCGCAACGGACCACACAGTCTATTGCCGCGGTAGATGTAACTGTAGCAAGAATTTTCTCATGTTACGAATTATTCGGCGGGGACATTTACCGTTGGTGGAGGGACACTCACCGATAGTTTTTAAGGACCTCACTCGTCTCGTTGTGCATTACGGTCACTCTCAAAAACCCAACCAGCAGCCCCATGGATGCGCCACCGTGCGGCTGCTGGTTGGGCTCGAGAGAGAGAGAGCCTGTAAAGCACAGCGGGATGAGTGAGTCTCTTAAGAACGATCGGTGAGCGCCCCTCCATCATTGTATATTCCCAATTGAGGCCGACAGGACAACAAGCCCGTTACTCAGTGATTAGAGGCGTTAGACTTCTAAGCAACAGGTCGCAGGATCGTGTCCCAGGTGTTCCACACCTACGGGTTGGGTATGACTGGCTGACGATAGCTAGTAAGCCAGATAGGGCGATTCCAGTCCCCATTTGTCGGTAGTACCATTCTAATTTTACTGTTGTCAGAACTCCTCAATTAAATAGATTGTAGCTACGCTTCTGTTCAGTCTGACAATGGGCTGCATTTACTAATACTAACTAAAGATCAACCAGTCAGGCTCTATCTTTATCCAGACCATCGAATAATGTTCATCCGCCTGCAGGTTCAGGCCGTCCACGAAAGTCAGGCAACCATCAAGAAATTACAGACGAAACTACAGAGGAGTGAAGCCTACTTTGAGCCTTCGTTCATCTGGCGCATCGAGGGCTACCGCCAGAAGTTCGAAGAGGCACAGCAGGGCAAACGGACTGCCCTCTTCAGTCAACCCTTCTACAGGTACTTGCCACAATTGCCAAGTCGATTATTCTGCTGGACTATTTGACCAATCGGTTCGGTGAAAGTTCTTGTTTTCACAGACAGAGGTCTGGCAACAACCAACCTAAACCAGCGATATAGGTCAGTACGGACTAGGAGGTTTGGAGTGCCAGACTCTTGGTAAATTCAGTTCAGTTGCACTTTAGTTGATTGGCAAATGAAAGATTAACGCAAACTGTCCTACACCGGTTAATAAAGGCTACTGATGGAAAGTGAGTAGCTTGTACAGGCGGCATTAAATTGACCAATATGAGGTCACGACTTAATTGAGAGGAAGTTACTTGCATTGGACTTCAGCGGTTAGAAACAAAAAAATCGTTAATAATTACGAATAACAGAGATCTGGGAGACTAGAATGACGAGTATGACCTCCTTTTACGACGATAGCCCAACCCCGGAGTGGGGTGACCGAGTCCATGAACGGGACCTCCACAAGAGAAGCTAAGGCTAGAACCCGTAGTCTGCCATCCGGTTTAAGATACCTTTGGTTCAGCTCAAAATTCAGCAAGGCCGCCAAAAGTGAGCATTTGCGTCTATAATGCGTTTGTCCACCGCTATGTGTGAGCTCTTGTTAGGATTTTTGGACAAAAGATAAATGCTTTCATTTGTCCACTAGACAAGTAAAATAAGTTATGGCCACTCCTGAAAACCCACTCACATATTTTACGCTTTCTCGCAATAGATTTCAACAGCTTCAACTATATTGTTCTACGAGAAACAGTTGACAAACATTTTGTTTCTTAGTTTCGTTTTTTACAACCTTACGCACTGTTAACTGTTCTCATATGTTATAAAGAAATAATCAGATTTGGGAAATCATAATTGTGAGGCCGTACCAGATATCATTTGGTAAGTCCCCCAATGATATTCCTGTCATGTTCCTTAAACCTGCCTGCAGATCCTGGCATTTGGTGCCTATCTGGATGTTAACGTGAATGAAATGTATTGAGCCGCCTTAAGTGAATGTACATCTTAAGTGATTGTGAAACCGCGAGCAGATAAGTCGCAGTCAAAAAACGCAAAAACAGTTCAGCATTATCCCGGCGGAAATCCTCATTTCCTTCAGATAACCGGTTTTTGAGGATAACATTTCCTAAAGCACTACCGAAAAAGTATTCTGTCATTCATGGTTTACATGATGAATGGTTGGTATCAAGTAACCTGACTGGATAAAGTTAGTGGATCGTGTGATAACACTGCTTCAGTCGTCCGCTTCATTCTGGCACGCAATTTCACGTAGGTCGATGGGCAGTCTTTCGCCGGACATTTCGAGGATCTGCATGATGACCAAGGGACCATATGGTAAATGCGCCTGACTAACACCAATACGAGAGGTAGGTCGGAGTCTGACAGGCGTTGTCGGCAATGCGCACTCATAACAAATGACAACATTAGGGATGTGGCGACAAGCTCAGCTACAAACTCATGCCGCGCCAGTCGGGATCCGAGCCGCCGATTCCCTTATTTCTTGTTGTGTCCTGGCCGGTGTATGCTGTGGGACATCGGATGTGTTGGGTGGATGTGCGAGTTTTCACCGTGTCACAGAGAAGAAGAAACAGTAATTAATGTGGAAGTGGAATTCCCAAATTGGTTTGCATTTGAGCCACGGGTTGTTCCACTAACCTTACGTGCAGCAGGAGTCCAATACGGATGCATGGCACACAGCAACTGGGATACGCATGAAAAATAAATGTCTCACGTGTACACTGCTGTGTCAAGCCAAGGCGCAGGCCCAAAGCACATCAGTCACTTACAGTAGGTGGGCTAACTCATTAAATGTCAACCGAAATTCCGAAATGCGTTTTCGTTTAGAAAAAATTAACTAAGAACGGTTGTAAAACTAGTCAGCCTGCAACATGATTCTATAATATTTCAGTTACCTAAGGAAGCCGGCTTTCAAACGAACTTCTTTCCAGCTGTATGCAAAAACTACACTCTGTAAAAATGACTACATAAGTAGCATGTAATTTTCTCCTTGGTTTTCGATTACCTCAAAAGTCCAATTATATTTCATGGGAAACATGCACAAAAATATTCATTCTTTTGCCCATTCGGTAGAAAACTACGCCTTCTTCTAAGTTTATACTCGGAGCAGGGACATGATTCGGTTTTAAAAAAAGTTTCTAATCGTGAGACTTGTAAATGCCTTGAAATGGCCGTCCATAAATCGTCATGTCTCTGCATTTACCATTGTGGCTTGTAAAGTCAACAATATGGCTCAAAACCCCCGCTAAATTTTATGGACCCCCATATGGTCCCCTTTCAGTACCGTGGAGAAATATGTGGTTTTCCGAACGGAGAAACTATACGGCTAGTAGTTTGGGAACCCTAAATCCAAGAGTAAATGTGGAGCGGATTAAAAATTGTTCGGGACTGGGAAAGTTTGTAAAAACCGAAGTATACCCTTCCTTCGAGTGAACGATTGGAAGAAGACGTAATTGTCTACCGAATGAACATTAAAATGAATATTTGTGTGCCCGTGTTCCATGAAATGTAGTTGAACTTTTACGGGCATCAAAAATCAATAAGAAGAATTCATGCTACGCATGTAGTCGTTTTTTTACTGAGTGTGGTTCTTCCATGCAGCCGGGAGGGAGTTAATTCGAAAGCCGGCATCCTCAGGTAACTGAAATAGTATAGAATTATGTTGCAGGCTGGCTAGTTTTACAGCCCTCTTTAATCAGTCTTTTCGAACCGAAAACGCATTTTGGAATTTCGGTTGACATTTCATGAGTTAGCCCACCTTCTGTAGGTGCGAGTTTTTGCCGTGCGCTCTCTCCTGCTCCCTGTATCCTTGACTCTGTCTTGACACCGGTCCACGGTGGGGAGGAGAGAGAGCGCGGTAGATGCTGAGAGAGTCTGCCATCACACTAAACTAACACACGGGCTAGCCATCATCCCGGCTTTCGCCCTGCCGTGGTGCAAACGGTGAACATCGTCGGCAACGACGGCCGAACAGTCAAATGGTGATCTTATGGCGCCTGACAAGTCCCTCAAACCGAGGGTCGCTGTCTTATGTCCGGCCAGTCAAGTAGACATGCAGGGCACGTTTTCCGGTGGGCGGACGTATGCGCCTCTCGTTCGGTTATCACCTAGCTCAAACTTATTCCTCGTCCTCGTAGTGGATACAATTCTTCCTCTACTGGCGCCTGGATGCACCTTTAAAGGAGACTGTGGTGAAGACATTGACAAGGTCCCCTCGAGCTACCCTAAGCTACTGGGCCAGCGCCTGTTAGCAACAGCAGAAGCGGCCGCCATAAGGTTACGAAAACCGACCATATGCGCCCAAAAGATCCTTGTTCAGGCTCCGCGCTTACCGTGGTCAAAGGTTGACTAATCACATACAACTTTCTGCTCCCTTCCGCTCTTGCCTATCCTGGAATTTAAAAACCTAACTTTTATCGATTTTTGTTTCACTCACTGTACCCCGCCCTATGTAACTGCATTGGCCTGATGAGAATTTATCGAAAGGAACGTTCACTCGCCACTGTCTCTTCTGAACATAGTGATGGGGATTTTCACAACTTTAAATGACAAAACTTTTATAACGCCCATATGTGCCACTCAACCGCTCGCAATCGCGGGCTACTTGTCTGTTTTGAATTTCAGCGCGCTTGTTAGCAGATACAATTAAAACTTTTTACAAACATTTATTACAAATGATAAGTGCAACGATCAGCATAACTATTCCAAACTATGTGCCACTCACACACTGCGTCGGACGGTAGAGTGATGTACTTTTTCGAGGCGTCACTGAATATTTGACGTAGGATTTTTGAAGTCGCCTTCCTCATATTATTCCAATGTGCTTTCAAGTGCACTGGTTAAAGGATTTCGGCAAAAAAGGAAATATTGAGTGTGCGTAGGCTGCCTCAAATCCGACTGGAGAAGCCTCCATGCAATTTTGCAGAACAAGCTGTGTCTGAGGCGTTTACTCTTACACATCGATCGATCAGTTTGTGGGGTATCATTAGTGTCCATGGATTGGACACAATCGTGCATTGATTCAGTCCGGTCATTTCATTGGCTGATGGGTGAGGAACATGCCGTTGCCACTCCACCCATTGGATTCAAGGCGTTGAACATCCATTCAAAATGGTCCCTTGTCAACGGGAGGTCTAGTGTAATAGATTAAGGTTACAGAGTACGCTGGTGTACGACTGCTCGCATCCGGTAGGTGCTGGGATATGCATTCAAACATCAGATCGCGTCGGCCTAAAGCGTTAAAGTGAACTGTCTTTGCGACCACCGCTGGCGTTCACAGTATAAAAAACCAAATCCAAAAATTTCTGTAGGCTTCGTCCTCACAGTATAGGGCTGGTATTCTTCCTTTGTCGATGGTCAGCATAGAGTAAGCCGCTCAATTCATTACCTTGATCCGCTCATCCTGGTTATATAAGCTTGAATGCAGGGTGCATATGAACAGATTGAAAGTTGCACTGAAACTACCTGTTTTCCCTCCTTCCGTAACGGAGAGTGCTGAAACGTATATTTTGAGAAGGGCACCAGTCTAATTGTCATACATTGTCAGAACATACCAACACACACCATCTTTCCCAACTCCCATGAAACATACGAATTAATCTAGACAGGCCTTACAATCACTAAGATATTCGATTTACTGTTAGCCACATTCGTTAGAAATTGTAACATCAGCCTTTTCTTGCCGAAAATGACTCACGCCCCAAGGAATAGAAGCTATAAATGCAACAGTCGAGAAATAACAAGCCGGAAGTCAATAAAAAAGAGGTTCTTTTCCCTCTCCGGTGTTAAAAAGAATTTTCTCAGTTAGGAATTAATTCCGTTTCACAAGAAACCCTCGAACACATGACTTACAAACTATATTGACTGCAATCATTTTGTTTTCAATATTCATCCAGTCATCGTCATGGTTACCGTGTGTGTCTGTCGATTTGTCCTTACGGAGAACAGCGCTACCGCGGAAAGTACTTGTCTGTCTTTGTCTGCCTCTGCCGTGGAGAATACGACGCCCTCCTCAGCTGGCCATTTTCATTCCCGGTAATATTTAAATCAAATGGCCTACTTCCAAACTACTAGTAGAATGTTTAGATTCAATTTATATTATTATGCACTATCTTACAGATAACTGTAAAGTTGCTGGATCAGGCTATAGACCCGACTATGAGGAAGGATCACAGCGTCCTAATAAGGCCGAACCCCATACCAAGCAACAACGCCTATTTGAAGCGACCAACAAGCGAACGTAACCAGTGCTTTGGATCTCCGCGATTTATTGAGCTGGAACAAATGAATGCCCGGGAGTTCGTTGTGGACAACACCCTCTACCTGAAAGCCCTCTTTGAGATTGAGACTTAGATAACACTGTCATGTTGACTCATTTACAGATTTTGTGGAATTTTATGACATTGTTATGTTGCCTAATCTACTTTGAATTGTGTGTGAACTCCACACCTCCACATCAACATCCATCCATCATCATCATCAGATTTCAAAGCCGATCACTCTTCCTTGCACCAATTCTGTCCATTATGCTTGAGTCTTGATTTTCTTAAGATAATTACACGCTAAATATAATGGAACCTTATTGAGTTTTTTCCATTGTTCTGGTGAGTCAGTAGAAGGTGGCTTGCTATTTCCCTGGAAAAATAACTCGAAATATGAAAACAATCAGAATAAGAAAACATAGCAGAAACTGAGCATGGGAACGGCTCTATGATGGAAACCGTTCGAATATTTCTGATTCTTCCAGCGATCATGTATATGAGCACGATGTGTGCAGAAATAGATTGGGCTGCCTTTACGGTCCGAATTTGACGAATGCGCTTGATGTAAATAAACTTGTTTGCAGTGAAGTCGGCGAACCAAGACTTATCTGGTCTGTCCGCATCATGTACGAGCAGTTGAGGTGACTGCTTCCAACTTCAGAGGAGGGCTACACGATAATGCCTACCTATCTTGTCATGGTACTGATATACCCAAAAAAGTGGCTCCATAAAACTATAAGTTATGACACGTGTTTCGCAGATGTTGCGGCTGCTTCTTGACAAAGCTTTTCCTTTACTTCTCAGACGCACCCCATGCAATCTGTGATAGTATTCTAACCCTCAGTGATCCACAAATCTTTACACAAAATAGTTTTCGGTATGTCTTATTCCAGTATTCAGTAGTTAAAATAAGTGGGACATACCTGTAATTCCAGCTGATCTTCACAACCTGGGGGCTATTTCTGCTATTTAAATGTGCACTGGGCAGATCGATCGTGATTATGTTTTAGAACGGCTGGTAATTTCACCTATCTAATAATGGCGCATACACTTTCTCCGTAAAATTGTCCGGTTTAAACAAAATACAACTGGCTCCTAGGGCAATCTTTATGATAGCCGGGTTTATTTCGACTTCCGATTGGGATCGTGGTAAGCGATGTGAAAGGGAGCAACAGCGAAATCCAAGATAAAGGAGAAAATGAAAAAGAAGCCTAGAAAGTGTTTAAACCGGGATGTGACCTTGCGGTTGCATCTGCTATTGGAAAATGGACAGTTTGTTCGCAGCGTTCATGGAACATTTCGTCGAGGAGCGGCTGTTTTATAAGCGAATGATCCTTCTGTGATCACCTACATGGGAATCGTATTTTCGTCAATATATGTATGCACATATATATGTACATGTTGAGTAACATCACAGACCAAGAGAAGAGAGACTGAAATGGCCATTTATGACTTACTGGTCGTCGCCAGCCAGTCGTACTCAACCGCGATACGTGGAACACCTGGGGCTCGATCCCGCGACCTGTTAGTTAGAAGTTGGTTGCAACTGAGAATATACAATGGCAGACGAGCCCTCACCAGTTGTTTTACGGGACTCATTTGTCCTGTTTGAAAGCCGGCATCCTGATGGGGCTGATGACCAGTTTTACAACCGATCCTCATGCTGCACAGTTCTACAATAATTCAGATACCTCGGGATGCCGGTTTTCTAACGAACTTACTTTGGGCTGCATACAAAAACTATAGTCGGGGAAAAGTGGCCACTTAAGTACCATGCATTTTTCTCATTTATTTTCGATGCCCTTGCAAATGCAATTATATTTCATGGAGAACATGAATAAAGATATACATTCCTTTGCTCATTCGGTAGAAAATAACGTCTTCTTTCAATTTTAAACTCATAGGTAAAGCATAATTCTGTGCAATGATTTACCGTACTAACAACACAGGTATTAGCTGAAAGCCCAGACACGCGTGTTTCGCCGATCTTATGCCAGAAAACACACGGGAAACCTGGGGGACCCACTGACGAGCCGAACGCCTCGCAGCTGCGTCAGGCAGCGGCATAAGATCGGTGAAACACGCGTGTCTGGGCTTTTAGCTAATACCTGTGTTGTTAGTACGGTAAATCATTGCACAGATCTATACTACTGACTGCCTGTTGGCGGTTTGTGAATATTAAGCGGTTATTCCGCAGTAGCTGATGGATTTCAGCTCAAATATTCATATCAAAATTTGGAGCGTGCCTGAAAGGGCCCGTTTCGAAAGATTTACTCCAAGTTCGCGCATTAATTTCCTCGGAAATTAAACAAGGCAAAGTATAATTCGGTTTTAAAAATGTTTCTAATTGTGAGATTTTTAATACCGTGAAATGGCCGTTCAGGAAATGTCATGACACTACATCTATCCATGTGGCTTTTAAAGTTAACAATACGGCTCAAATCCATTGCTAAATTATATGAACCCCATATTGTCTCTTCTTAATACCGCCGAGAAGTGTATGCTTTTCCGTACACGAGAAATATACGGCTTGTGGTTTGAAGACCCTGAATGCAAGTGTAATGACATGTCGGGGTCTAAAATTATTCGGGAATCGAAAGAGTTTCTGAAAACCGGTTTTTACGCTTCCTGGGAATGTACAATTAAAAGAAGACGCAGTTTTATACCGAATGAGTAAAGGAATGAATACTTTTATGTATGTTTTCTACGAAGTATGATTGAATTTTTAAAGGCATCGAAAATAAATGTAAAAAACTCATGTCACTCAAGTAACCATTTTCCCCATACATGCAGCCGAAACGAAGTTCGTTTGAAAGTCGGCATCCTGATGTGACTGAATTATTATAGAATTATTTTGCATGATGATTAGTTTTACAACTGTACTTAATTAATGTTTTTGAAACGAAAGTAATTTTGGTAAGTTCGGATGGCATTTCATGAGTTAGCCCACCCACTGTATATATATATGTGTGTTTGCGAAGACAAATGAGAAAACAACCAATAAGCTGAGAAGATAGCGATCTACCAGGTAAAGTAACTGTGATGGTTAAACTGTAGCCTTTTAAAACCACAAGACAGGCAGCGGTCACTGCCGGCATTCTTATCTTACCAGAATGACTCGGCAGAACAAATTTCGCCCGAATATTGTTGACCTGAGCAAAAAATACTGCATTTACGCTTCTAAATGACATACAGTACCTGTGCTAACTCATGAAATGCCGAGGTCAAAATTATAGTGGAAAATCTAGCGTATTTTTGGTGTCGTTATTTGTGTTTATTTAGTTGAAATAAGGACGAAAAGACCGTTTGCTGAAGGAAAGTTTGATACGGATCTGTGTATTAAATGGAAAACGGGCAGGATTTAGGCGAAATCGGAGGATTCCTGATATTCAAGCAGTTTCCTGCGCTATTAAAGCTTTCGGATCGAAATTCTTTGTGTTGCCTTATTACTTTGTTTAAGAAGATTAATAAAAGGACGAAACTTTTCAATAAACTTTCGAACAAAAAGAAAAAAATTAAATTTCAATATCAAGAAAATCAGGGAAATGCAGATAAATTATTTCTTATTGTGTTCAGGAAATAACGTGCGATTCTTTATCTAAAAATTCTATTTTACAAATTCGTAAAGTTTTATGTTTCAAAATACCGAAATAAAAAGTTTATCAGTGTGATTGTTTTACCAGACTGAAAATGCGTGTCGTAAACGAATATATATTGAGTTCGCGCGACATGCCGTCACTTTTCTCTACCACGCCAAACAATACCTATGTCTAAACAATACTTATCCGAAGTTGACTTCCAGCGCATTCGAAAATTAGCGGGGGAGGGAATCCCGCGTGAGTCGTTAGCTAGTATTTTCAATATTAGCAAGGTCACTCTGTGGCGCATTATTAATGATAAAACTGTTCCTAGAAATAAGATAGGGGGACCCAAACGGTCCACAAGTAAGCAAGACGACGATTTTATTCGTCGTACATTAAAAAAGTTTCATTACATGCCCATTGAGACCATTCAGCGGACACATCTGCCGATGTTTTCTATGAATATCATTAGGAAAAGGATGAAGGAATTTGAACTGCAGCGGCGGAAGGCCATGATTAAGCCATATTTAAGTAGAAAACTAATTAGTGAACGGCTTTTATTTGCTAAGAATTATATTGATTACAGATCTTCATTTTGGAAGAGCATTTTCTTCTGCGATGAGGTTCTATTTTTAGACAAGCCTACGAAGTCGCTCCAAACCGTCATATGTGGAAAGAACTTCCCAAGAGAACACACTATACCGACGGCAACATTCAAGAACTGTCAGCGGATGATGGTATGGATGGCGATTAAATTCGGTGAGCGGCATGTCTGGCGGTCAACATCCGACACCATCAACAGCAAGGTGTTTATTGCAATTGCCAAGGATGGTTTCGGCTACAACGGCATAAGTTGGCGCCGAATGGATACTGTAATTTTGCACGACAATGCACCTCTCCACCGCTCTAGAGAAGTACGAATTTGATGCCGCTTGCAAATATAATCTAACATTTTAGACAACAACCACGCTCTCCGCAATTGGCCTCCAATCCATTTTCATCCCGGTCAACAGTCCCGATTTGAATCCTATCGAAAATCTTTTTGGAATAGTCAAAAGGAATTGGCACAAAGCTAAGAAGACTCTTTCAATGCAGGAAAAATTGGATTTCATACTCAATAATTACATTTTACAATCCACCATAGATAACCTCGTCATGTCTATGTCGGACAGACTTTCTGCTGTTATTAATTCGAATGGACAATCAACAAAGTACTAATTTTTTGTATCTGTTTCTGTCCTTTATTATTTTTGACCTTTTATGCTCCCTCCTCCTTTATACGCCCTCATACGTAGCCTTTATTAACTTGGTTGTAATATAGGCGTTTCTCGAAAATGTGACTTTTGTCGAAAATTATTTATTTTTATCTCAGTAAATAATATTTTCTTAACCAAACTTTGCTTTATTTCTTTGGCACATCGTTTATTTTCCGCTATCAGACTTTGGGAGCCGTAGTGTTTACCGATTTTGCGTTAAAGTCGTTAACCTGTGTTAATTCTTGACATTTCAT